CTGGCATTAATGCAGGAAAAAGCCTATTGTGTTCACTGTGTTCTGATGTTTCCCTCTGACCTCTCACTGTTTGCAGTCTGGCTGTAAAAGTTCATTGTGTCACAATTGTGAAGTAAAAAAGCTTTTTTTCCCTTTCTTATTTATGTGCCGTTTGTTGATTTTGTTAACCTTCTCTTAGAAATTTGTCAAAGGCAGAAATGTGGGGTAACTTTAGACCTTTACTCTGGAAAAGATCATCTACAAACAAAATAAAATCAGTTTGTTTTTGGTACTTGACTCTCTTGTCTGGATGTTATGGGAAAACATCTGCAGTGATGTTTAAGAAAGCGTTTTAAATTAACCTAGAAAAATTTTTTGTTTTTCTGAATTAATTAATAAGGTAATTTTAATAAATTACCTCATTAATCACTGTGTTTTCCTGAATGAAGTACATGATTTCAAACAAATGAATAAAATGTTTTCTGAATTAACGAGATATTGCTGCTCTGATTTCATGGAGGATGCTCTGTTACTGTTGGCATCGCATATTTCTAAGGAAGAGGCACCTTTCCTTTAGAAAAGCTTCAACATGTCCTGTTTGTTGCATTTAATTCATTTTTACCTTTTTTAGGGATTGAGACACATGGTAATGTTTCTGTTTTTCTTTTATTTATGTAAATGCGATCATTATTTGTTTATTGACTTTACGAAGAAACCTGCTCGATTGGTGCTACTCATGGCACGTTTTTTTCCCGTCCTCTTCGCAGCTTATATCGTTTCCTCTGAAAAACAATGTTTTTATTTATTTTTATATAAAAAAAAAATCTAATTGATTCTGAAAAACACTGATTTCTTTTTTCAGGTAGCAAAATGTTAAAATCCATGACAGAAAAATAAAAAGATTGAGAAGGTTTAGTAGATTATTTCTATTTGTATTTATTTCCTGTAGCATATTGAGCAGGTTTTTAAAGGTGCGTTTATTAAGCACAGTGGTGGAGGAGTGATGTTATGGGCTTCATTTAAAGCCACAGGAGCTAGGTACTTTTCCATCATTTAATACACAATTAGCTCTATATTATACCAAAGCAAGAGGCAAATATGAGGCCATCTGTCTGAAGCTTGGTCCAGACAGGATCATCAGAAGGGCCATAATGCCAGACATGCCAGCAAATTCCCATTGTTAACATCATTATGCCGTCTATAAGAGTTTCTAAGAGAAAATCTAGAGGAGTCCAGCCCTAAACCACAGTTCAGAATTGGGAGGAAAAAATGCTTTAAAAACCTCATGAATTTCAGAAATATAACCTTTGTCCTTCTCGTTTTAATGTTATACAGCCGTAGTAACAAAATAGTAGAATGTCCCTGTTTCTTTCTGTTGTGTTCTTATTTATAAAACAAGAATTGTTTGAAAACTAGATGGTGTACTCCATGAATGTACTTCAATTTTCTATTTTAAGGGGAAATCCTACCTACCACTGATGTAGCAGGACCAATCTAGACGGACTGTATTGAAATTTAATTAAAATTAGTTAATATAAATCAGCTTCTGCTGGTACAGAAACAGAATGTTAATAACAAACGTCAATGGTACCAATTCCTGTCAAAGTAGCTTGTTGAATTAAAATTACTCTAATGAAGCTAATAAAATCTGAAAAAAACTGCCCTAAAAATCATGAAAACAGTGAGAAACAGCCCCTGCTTTTTTATTGTTATAGTTCCTCCTTTAAATTGTTGAGCCTCTGCAAACGTTAAAGGGAAATGTTATTTCACAGAGGCTGCCTGGAAATGTTATCTTCCATGAGGTTATCTCATAACTGGTCAAATAGAGCCAAAAAGAAATCTAAAACACTGCAAGAGTGACCTAGCCACTCACCTGGCTTTAATCCAGCTCAAATCTTTAGAAAGTCCAAAGGATCATAGGTGTAGAAGAGAAAGCCGAAACCTCAAGACTTGAGGACAGTTTTCATGTAAAGGATTAAGGCTGACACATCTGAACAAGTCCAGTTTCCCCACAGATGTCAGCAGTATGGGACTAACAAAACAGGATGTTCTAGAATGTGTTTAATATTTGTCAGTAGGAATGTTTAATACCGTATGTATTTTACTGTGTTGATCCATTTGAATAAACATACCATCATTTCTGGACTTATTTGGTGAACTTTCCCGCCATGTTTAGAGAACTGGGGCCGTTACCGTTAATATAAGGTGGATTTCTTCTTAATGTCTTTATTAGAATTATAATTCTAGTTTAAATTGTCAGTGTATCTAAACTTGTGCTTCAGCATTACATGCATGGCTGATTTAGCTTAGAAATTGCATGGACAGAACTTATGATTATACTATACCAGCACTAGTATTAAACCCAAACAAAAACAGATGTACCAAACTATAATAATCCAACTAAATGTGATTTTGGTGGTTTTGTTGAAGGTGGAATATCCTGGTGATTCTCCACAGATTACAGAGCAGCTTCCTACTCGCCTTAGCACCAACATATTGTCTTTCTTAGACTCAGGGCCCGAAACAGACAGGCTACACTTTTAGAAACTCTCCAAACCACAGAGCCTCTTCGGCGTTCTTAAAGAGTCTGGCTGTGATTAAACTTCCTGCGTGAGCGGGCATGAGATATGACACATGGTAATTAGGGAGGGTGTTCCTCTCAGACATGTAAATACTGTGTGGCCTTTACCTCAGCTGCAGAGGTGTGTTTACAGAAGAACAGCAGACTCTGCCGTCAGCAGGTTCAGCGTGGTGGAGGGCGTCATTGCTGGACAATAATAGGTTCGGCATGTTAGAGGACGGGTGCGGACCGTCTTCCAGGATTTGTGTCTTGAGTGTGCTTGTTTTCTGATCCTTAGAAAGCTCATTTGTTTTGTTTCGTCCTTCCCTTCTGTGTGAAAACAGATGTACGTGTTCGCATGCGAGTGTTCCTGTTATCTATTGCTGAGTAGAGCCTGGAGTGTAAACAGACACAGAACAGGTTGAGAGATAGGGCATACGACCAAGTTGTAGAACGTTTATTAATGTAGAGTTTATGGTAAAAATTAAATAAAACCCTGAGTTTAAAGGATCAGGATGAGTATTATGTCCATCTTATTTCTAGTGTACAAATAAAAACTACATGTCCAACTCAGTCATTATCTGATTCCTAGTCATCCAGGTCATGATCAGGATTGAAAAGTTCAGTTTAGGCAAGTAGATGGGAAGTTTTCTAGAAGATGTTTCTATCTTCTATCTCATCCAAGAGGCTTCTTCTGTTCTTACTGATGGTGCGCAGGACTCAGATTAATATACTGTAGTTTTAACAAAAGAATTAGAGGAAAAACATTATCTGGCTGGACCTGGGGCGAAAAATCTTCTAGAAAACTTCATGGCCAGTTGCCTAAACTGAACTTGTGAAGCTCTGTCATTATTTATTCAACATACCTGAAGTCAGTAAGAAGAAAACCCTAGGTTTTATTATGTTCTTCATTTTTGTTCTCTCCTCTTCCTTTATTATATCTTTATTAGGACAAATTTTATGACTTTTACCCTTTTTCTCCACCCTTCATATTGTCCTTTCGTTTTTCCTTCTTTCCTGTCCATATTCTGTCTTTCATTCTGCCTTTCTTCATTTTTAAATTCTCCATCTATTTGATCTTTTTATTTTCCTTACATCCAAAATATTCCGTTTTCCTAAACTATTTTGTATTTTGTATGCTGCTGTATGTTTAAGCTGCTGGAGAACATGGGGACCACTTTTTTTTTTTTTCATTTTGCCTCATTCTAGCTCTATTCTGCTATTCTGCAGTACTGGGTTACATTCACAAATGTATATTCTCTCTGCTTTTTCCTGTCCTAGCACCTTCATCTGGTCTTTTCAGATGACTAAAGCCAAGACTGTTACTGCCAAATTTGATTCAGTTGGCCTCGGGAGATGGCCGTTCACACTGAGCCTGGTTCTGCTGGAGATTTCTTCCTGTTAAAAGGGATTTTTTTTTTAAATACCCTGCAGCTAAATGCATGCTCAGTGTAAGGGATTTCTGAAGAGTCAACAACAAAATGCAATTGGAAATCATCAGCAAAAGCTCATCCAGCAGGAGTGTATCTTGCAAGTCTGTGACTCGATACAATGAACTGCTTTCCCTTATCAGAACTTTTAACCAATCTGACTATTATCTTTGTAAAGTGCCTTGAGATGACATCCATCCATCCATCCATCCATCCATCCATCCATCCATCCATCCATCCATCCATCCATCCATCCATCCATCCATCCATCCATCCATCCATCCATCCATCCATCCATCCATCCATCCATCCATCCATCCATCCAAATCTTGACAGGAAATGTTTCAAAACCAGCCACGTCTGGAATTCCTCTTGGACGATCCTTGGTCTTAGGAATTAGAGCCTGAAACACAAGCAGCGACAATCATAACTGTGGATCTGGGAGATTTCACACAATGCCATGTAAACAGGACACAAGTAACTGTGAGTCCAAATGGAGAACAATGCAGTGGCGGTCACAGCTTCTGCTTGATGAATGGTTGTTTTTAAGAAGAGAAGGAAGTAACTCCTATATAAGGAGTTTGCGGCTGACGCCTCAAACCCTAATGAGCACGTCCAGAAAGAGATGTGACCACAGTGATTGGGGACCTGAAGAAGGGGGGGGTAATTGTGTTGCTGCAATCAGCACCTCTTTGGCCTTCAAAGATAAGCAGGAAAGCAGAAACAGTGAGCTGATTCAACCTGCTCATCACATTAGTGTGCCATAATCAGCCTCCCAGTGCACGTGATCAGGACTCTGTTATGGTCCAGTTACTTTCTGATCTGATAAACATTCTGCAGAGCTCCCTGCTGTTCTGTACATGAGATTAGAAGATAGACACAATTTTTGTTCTTTAACACACACCAAAAGGTGTGAACGCTTCACAGACCCACAACCAGATAAGGGGTCTGGTTTTATTTCAAGGATCCCTGTTCATCTCAGTGCCTGGGAGGGAGGAGTGTTGTGGGAGAGGAGGAGGGTTTGGGAGAGGAAGGAGGAACAGTTAGAGGAGCCGGGGTGAATTTTGGGCAGCTGCACCCATTTTGGACAGATTGGAGAAAGACAGAAGCTGTTCAACATGTGGAAAAAAATAATCTTTTAAATAGTTTAATTTTAAATTATTTTAGATTCATTTTAAGCATTTATTTATTTATTCCAATTTTTTTTTTTTTTGCTTTTAGGTGTGTGTCCTGTGTTTTTTACTTTTAAACATTTTAGTTATTTTTTTAGGTGAAATAGTAAATGATGGAGCTAGAGCATTTAGGAGGTGGGGGGGTTAAAACTGAGAGGGGTGTCGGTCGTCTCTACAAGATCGCTCTGGCCATGTGTGTGTGCCTCTGCGCCGCTCTTCTGCTTGGTCTCATACTGGGTAAGTTCACACACACACACACACACACACACACAACCTCTACCCTTTATCCTACATTATAATTTGCAGGAAATCTAACGTATGGTACAGAATGGTCCCTGTCCTCAAAAAGCACACGCAGAGTATGATAACATACAAGTAGGTGTCCTGGAGGGCTATTGAGTAACATGTGGCAAACTATTTTTGGGTCACTTAAGGTTTCACATGTCTGTAGTTTCTATTAAAACCACATGAGTCAAAGGAAAGTGCTTCACTTCTGTTGTGTTTAAATGTAAACAGGAACAATTTATATTAAAATAACACAAAGCCACAAAAAAGAGAAAAAAGGAGCCATTTATGGGAGTAGCTTATCACCTCTTTTAATTTACCCAATGAGATTCAAGCATCTGGAGTCCCAAGGGTAGGTTCAAGAAAAGTTAAGAGGAAACACAGTGAAGTAGAGGAAATTAAAACCATCAAGATAAGATTGCAAAGCATGTTCAGTATCAGCCGTAACAGTGTTTACATTATAAAAAGAGTAAAAATGAACTACTACCTCATTCACAAAATCTTTGGATATGCTACTAAAACAAGTTGATCAGTTTTAAATCGAAACTTTGACTAGGCCAGCCAAACATGGACATGCTTTGAGACAAATCATCCCATTGTAGCTCTGGCAGTATGTTAAAATAATTGTCATGAAGGAAGGTGAATCATATCCATAAAGAATAGGTTTGTTATAGTTGTTTTATGAAGAAATTATCTCACCTGAGATTTAGATCTTTGCAGTTCCTTCCAAGTTACCTCTAGGCTTCTTCAGTAAAAAATGCTGTTTTCACCCAGCTTGTCACTTTACGTAGACAGCCATGTCTTACTAGATTTTAAGTTGTATCATACAGCTCTGGGTATTTTTTAAAAACCTCAATCATGCTTTAAACTTCTCCACGGCTTCCTTCCTGATCTTTAGGCAGGGTTCTTTGGTCTTTTGCTGTTATCTCTCTAAGGTTCTCTATGGAACCTCTGAATTATTCACACTACTTACACTACAGAGAATAAATGACAGTTAGTGCTTTTACAAATCAGGTCTCTTCTTAATGGAACTGATTGTACCCGATGTTATTGAGGGGTGTCAGAAATTAAAACAGATGCATGCAACAAAACAAGATAGTTGAAAACCAGGAATTTTTCCCCCCGCTCTATTGGGTAAAATCTCAAGACAAGACAAACTTAAGCCCACACATACAAAGAAATCAAATGAATTTAATTCACAAATACACTTCCAAGTCCAAAAATATGTCTTTGACCCATTCTTTCACACCAATTGTCTGAGGATTATGAAGATTTTGGGGGTCCTTCTATGTTTCTACAGAAGCATATTTGATACAAGGTGATTGACTGGTCTAATTTAATAGATTTGCCACATTTTTTAAACCAATGCATTCTTTTTTGTGGTATGTTTAAGGGCTGACACACTCTACACTGTACAATATTTTCAATCAATGTACCAAGCCAAAGCTAAAACTGTGCAATGAAACCAGAGTTTAAAGGTTCCCAGCTGACGATATTGTTCTTACGCTGGTCTGATGGGATCTGACTGCTCACACTGTATGACCAAAAAAAAAACAACAACATTGGATTTAGCCCATACAGAATAGCGATTGTTGGGCTCTACTAGCAGACGCAAAGTCAGAGAAGAAGACTTCCCGTTTGCACATGCTCAGTGCCTGAGGTCGAGGTAAACTGGCTACTAGATGCTCTTAGCTCTTCTTTAACAGTAGGATATCCTTATGATCACTCCACAAAACTGACAGAATTTTAAAGATGTTTGATTTTCATCCAATCATACAATCCTAATCAGGAGGTGATCCACAGCGGCTGACTGCCTCTTGTTCACCCCCGTATAAAACGCAATGCACGAGGCATGATAAAGCTGAAACTCATTGGAGGACTGAAAAATTGGCCCAAAAAGTCATACAGCATATGCTTGCTCTAAGATTGTTGTCTTGCTTTGAAAGCTAATCTTGTTCCTTGTCTAGCTCCTACGAAAAAATGAATCACCCTTCATTTTTTGCATTTATTACCTTCTTCAGTCATGGAAGTTGCCAGAACCCCATTGCGTGAAACAGCCTGATGGTTTCTCCTGCAAACTTCACCAGTGGTATGGTTTTTTAAGGGTGAAGTGTAGAACCCTATCGCTTTGAAGCATGGCTTGTGCATTGACAAGTTCATCTTTGGTCTGATCTCAGACTCTCTTCTCCCAGTATTTCATTGGCTAGTCCAAACCTTCTGCAGCAAGATTATAAACAAGCCCTAACAGGATTTTTCCTTCAGCAGCGAAGCTTTGCTACTTTGGGATTGCATGTAGCAGCTGAGTGCATCACCTGTTGTTTTTGTCGAAGATCGGTACCAGCTATTTTAAAATTTCTCTCCGGGAGTTCTCCTTGGTTCTTGGGCAGCCTTTTTTTTGTTATCCTTTTAAATCTTTGTCATCTTTTGGCTAGTTAATGGTGAAATGAGTACTCTTTCCATTTCCAGATCGCGTTTTCATTTCGGTGTTTAGAAACACAGATGCAGCCAATGCCTTTAATCTGTTCTGCTGCCATCATTTCTATAAAAAAAGGCAACCCTTGCTTGTATTCTGCACTGGCCATTGCAAAACCCTAAAATTGCTAAAAATGACTAAACTGAATCTGTCAGAGATTGCCTTTCTTCTGAATCAGTGATGTTTTGATTGACTGTGGCTACAAGATCCTTTACCTGTAAAACTATTGCAAACCAAAGCATGACACTGTGTAATATGGTTCTGGATGTCTGCTTTTATCTCATCTATTTAAATGATATTGTTTCAGTGATTTTGTGGTTTCTCTAAATGGTCTTTAATTGCCCTAAACCTACCAGGATTTATTACCATTTGAATATCCAACTTTCTCAGTGATTAATGACCAACCTCCTACTGTAACTTGTTGATTATGGCTTTGTTGGCAGTTATGACCAATTCATCAGAGCAAGTCAGCTAACCTGCAGACATACTGCACTGCACTGCAAAAGCAGGGTCTGGTGAGAACAGCATAATGTCAGACAATAAATCAATCCTGCAAAAGCTGCAAAGTCTTCTTTTTTACTTACAACTTCAACAAAATATGCTATATTTTAGTGGGTATAGTGGGTTTGTTTAGAATTAGTCCTGTGTGTTTCCCTAAACTAGACATGATAAAATCTCTCCAAGAGATTAAAGCACAGAATAATGTTTGTTTATCAGTTGATTAAACTCTGTATTGCGTTTTCATCTGTTAACTTACAAAGGGCGATCAATGTATTTTTAAAATGAAATGTTTGTTTAGGAGGTTCAGCAGGCTATTTCAAGTGCCGATGTGGAGCATTGCTAATGAGCTGTCCTCTTCCACTGGAAGCAATTATATTTCCCAATATGTGGAATTTGGGGAGCATGGACACAGCATTAGTGGTTCCACTGTTATGTGGTTCTAAGGATGGTTAGGGCTGCAGGGGCTCATGCGCTGGTGTTGGGTGGGGTGGGTATTGTGTCTTTTTGTTATTGAGGGAAACCACATTCTTGTGGCCACAGTAAAGTGCATTTATCTTATGTGCCCATGCATGCTGATCCAAGCTCCATCTATAATGGAAACACTCCTTTAGTTTCCAAGGAAAAGATTCGGATTCTTTTTTTTAACAGTTTGTTAATTAGGAAAGATTTTGATTCTTTGATGTGTGTTTAGCTCTATTGATGTTGCTTTTTGTGGCCTGTTTTATTGCCCACAGCACAAAAAAAATCATGATTGCATGTGCTTGTATACGAGGTAACCGCAGCATGGAGTGATTCTGGAAAGAGCCTCCTGTCCAGCAACAAGAGAGGTGAACCTCTGAGGTCAGACATCTCGGCGCAGCTCAGTCCCGCTCCATTTATCTGTTTACAATTTGGATTTGGTTTCAAAATACAGTTTGCTGCCTCACTGAATCTACATTTATTGTTGTTCTTTACTTTCTTTACTACGGAACCCCATCGCACAAGACTTTAGAAAGTCAAACTTTCTAGGAGAGTCCAAGAGACGGAAGTGGACTCTTTAAACCTGTGGTCATTCTGCCAGGAAAATAAATCAAGTGTGGTTTACTTGGTCTTTTTTTAGGGTTCTGCTTACCCGTATTACAAATATATGTTAAGTAATCATACCCTACAGCAGAGCTGAGTAGTAGTAGAAGTCGTGGGAAAAACATTTACTATGGATTTCCATGCATCCATAAAGAAAAACTACACATTTTCCCACTCAAAGAGCTGCCAATTAACTCCCCTTGACTCATGGACTGCTAGTAATTTGCACCAATTTTGACTTCTTCTAAAAAAAAAAAAAAATGACATTTGGTAGTTTGCTGGTCTGGAGCATAAAGATGTGTTTTAAAACAATGCAAAAAAGGAAATGAACCAGCAATGACTTCAGGAAACGGAATGGTTTTAGAGGAGATTGATTTCCAAACAATGTGGAGTCCATTATTCTGCAGAGACTAAACAATATTCCCAAGTAAAAAAATATTGGACAGTTTTAATTCTTCACTTCAAAAGGGTGTTCTAGAAAGTTTGTCCCAATGTCAGCTTACTCAGTTTTAAGAAAAAGAGCAAACGAAAAAACAAAACAAAGAGTCCTGTTTGCGATGTTTCCAATCAGGGACAGTAAAAAGGATTCAACACCTAAAGTTGAATTCACGTTTTTTTTATCAACAAGACAATATTCCCTAATAGAGCAGTTAATCTGTAAGAAAAAGACTGAAAATAAAAAGGATCAAAATGCTTGAACGGCCCAGTCAAAGCCTGAACAACAACTTTGACTAAAAAGCTAATAATAATAATAATAATAATAATAATAATAATAATAATAATACATTTTATTTAAAAAGGCGCCTTTCTGGACACTCAAGGTCACCGTACAAAAGCATAAAAACAGTGTCAGAAAAAATAAAAACATTTTAAAAATACAGAGGCTGTGACAGTGAAAATGATATTTAAAGAGAATAAGCAATCTTAAACAGATGGGTTTTGAGTTGCATAAGAACAAGTGAGAGAACTAACTATGATGATTTGTTAGTTAATTTGTAGGAATTTGCTTCTGTTTAGAAGAAACAACCCAAACTCACACAGGACAGTGTACATTTGCTTGGTCCAAACACGTGTAACTGTTTACTCTGTGTGGGAGCTCTCCAGATGTATCCACTCAGCTGTGGTCAGAGTTTGACACTCTGATTTCTAGTACTTCTTTAAAAATATAAAGTTGTATAGAATAAAAATAATACACAGAAACTTGATGTAAATGGACAAGGAATTACTGTTGGAAAAAGTTCTTCAGGCTTTTTCTGTTTTATATATTAAGCCGAATTAAAATGTCTCCCCTCATTTTATCTCAAAATAAAGTTGTATTCCTCACTAAAATGTTTTTCTCTCCATCAGTGTCCCAGAGATCCAGTAAAGCGGAGTTTTGCCTTTCGCCAGAATGTATTGAAGCAGGTGAGAAAAATATCCAAGCAGTCATTTCAGTGCATTCGTTTTTTTTGTGTTAAGCTGTTTGGGTCAGGATATCTTTATTTGTTTCTTTAGCGGGGTCCATATTGAGTAAACTAGACCGAACTGTCAACCCCTGCGAAGACTTCTACACGTTTTCTTGTGGCGGTTGGCTGAAGGAGAATCCGATTCCTGAAGATTCGTCTTCACATGGCATCTACCCGTGGCTGAGGCAGCATGTAGACATAAAACTCAAAGGTGGTAATCTTCCTTAAGGACGCATCTAAATATATGAAAGAGCCTGGGTCAGATTATCTGGGGAAGAAAGTTATTTCAGTATATTGTTTAGAAGTGATCTGGGTGTTAAGGAAAAAGGCCTACAGACGTCATATAATCTGGAATATATCTGTTCATCCATGAAGATCTTGTGATCCATTTCTGTGTTGATGTTTAAACATGTCTTGGATTGTTACTCTGCTGAGAGACCAAATGATGACCCAGTTGGAGTTTTCTGGGTCCAAAGTGTATTTTAAGTGTCATTGGATTTATGATATTCAATATCATGTTTTGGATTATACCAAAGTTCACAGGACTGTTTGAACAGAAAAAGGGTCACAACTTACCTAACTGTGTGCGGAAGCTGCCTTTCCACATATCCATCCTGTGATTCACATTTGTTTTGACACCCAAAACCTAAATTCACCCATTTGGATGTGATCAAGCATTAAATGGCCATTATTATTGGTTATTGGTCCCATTGAATGCTGACAATATGCAGCTTATAGGTGACAACAGCCACATCGGTCGTCTCTAAAACCATAAGTTTAATGTACAAATGCACCTACTTTTAGTTTTTAGCTACTTTACTTACGAAGCACCTACTCTTTGTAATTAACTGTGTTTTAAACCTTTACTTTCAATACATTCAACACGTTTAGGTCATTAAGGATTGTGAACAGTTGGGTTAACAGGATATGATATATATATATATATATATATATATATATATATATATATATATATATATATATATATATATATATATATATATATATATATATATATATATATATATATATATATATATATACACTATATTGCCAAAAGTATTTGCTCACCCATCCAAATTATTGGAATCAGGTGTTCCAATCACTTCCATGGCCACAGGTGTATAAATTCAAGCACCTAGGCATGCAGACTGTTTTTACAAACATTTGTGAAAGAATGGGTCGCTCTCAGGAGCTCAGTGAATTCCAGCGTGGAACTGTGATAGGATGCCACCTGTGCAACAAATCCAGTCGTGAAATTTCCTCGCTCCTAAATATTCCACAGTCAACTGTCAGCTGTATTATAAGAAAATGGAAGTGTTTGGGAACGACAGCAACTCAGCCACGAAGTGGTAGGCCACGTAAACTGACGGAGCGGGGTCAGCGGATGCTGACGCGCATAGTGCGAAGAGGTCGCCAACTTTCTGCAGAGTCAATCACTACAGACCTCCAAACTTCATGTAGCTCAAGAACAGTGCGCAGAGAGCTTCATGGAATGGGTTTCCATGGGCGAGCAGCTGCATCCAAGCCATACATCACCAAGTGCAATGCAAAGCGTCGGATGCGGTGGTGTAAAGCACGCCGCCACTGGACTCTAGAGCAGTGGAGACGCGTTCTCTGGAGTGACGAATCGCGCTTCTCCATCTGGCAATCTGATGGACGGGTCTGGGTTTGGCGGTTGCCAGGAGAACGGTACTTGTCTGACTGCATTGTGCCAAGTGTAAAGTTTGGTGGAGGGGGGATTATGGTGTGAGGTTGTTTTTCAGGAGCTGGGCTTGGCCCCTTAGTTCCAGTGAAAGGAACTCTGAATGCTTCAGCATACCAAGACATTTTGGACAATTCCATGCTCCCAACTTTGTGGGAACAGTTTGGAGCTGGCCCCTTCCTCTTCCAACATGACTGTGCACCAGTGCACAAAGCAAGGTCCATAAAGACATGGATGACAGAGTCTGGTGTGGATGAACTTGACTGGCCTGCACAGAGTCCTGACCTCAACCCGATAGAACACCTTTGGGATGAATTAGAGCGGAGACTGAGAGCCAGGCCTTCTCGTCCAACATCAGTGTGCGACCTCACAAATGCGCTTCTGGAAGAATGGTCAAAAATTCCCATAAACACACTCCTAAACCTTGTGGACAGCCTTCCCAGAAGAGTTGAAGCTGTTCTAGCTGCAAAGGGTGGACCGACGTCATATTGAACCCTATGGATTAGGAACGGGATGTCACTTAAGCTCATATGTGAGTCAAGGCAGGTGAGCAAATACTTTTGGCAATATAGTGTATATATATATATATATATATATATATATATATATATATATATATATATAGATAGATATATAAGCGAGATCTGGATCAATTTCTTTCTTTTTTTTTTTTTTTTTTTTTACAATACATTAAGAACTACTGAAATTCCTTTCAGTTTACAGATAAATAGATAAATTCATTATGCAGGCAAAAAAGGAATTCCCTTAGGGTTAAGATTCAATCCGTGATAACAGCCTGCTGTCACTTCCAGCATGTAGAAGGCACAATCTGTAGCCATTCTATGAGACTAAAAACTGCTAAAAACAGCAATTTAATGTGATGATAACATCTAAAGCGACTGCTAAGTCTTTCTTTTCCACCTTTGGATCTTAGTGACATTTTCCATATTCCCTTTATTTTTCTGATGACTTGATTGTTCCATTGAAAAGCAATCAGATAAACCATAACTGCACATTTTAAGTTTTCTTTTTTTATAAGCTATTCAATAGGGGCTGCTGGCTTCCTGAATGGCCCAATCAGTTTTGATTTTCTCTATGCTGAATCCATCAGACTGTAGAATATTGAATATGAAATCTGATAAGAGATCAAAATGAGAGCAATTATAAAAACAGAATTTGTAAAGATTCCTTACTGACACACAATCCAGAGAAACACATATATATCTGTTTTAATTAATAAGGGATAGCTAATGGGAGGAATGAAAAGAAACCCTGATGTATTTAAAACAGTTGTCTCTAAAGTGATGGTGCTCTTTTTTCTGACTCTCGTTTTTCTCCTACAGAGTTGTTAGAGGCTCCTTCCCATGCTAAAGAACTGGAGGCTGTGACCAAAGCTAAGATCCTGTATCGCTCCTGTATGAATGAAAGTAAGACTATACTCTTTTCTAAAATAATTATCAGTGGTAATAGCTTACCCTGCTCCTCTACCAGGCATGTCATTACAGGAATATGGAAATACTCATGACTTTTGAATCAATTTGACTTTGAATCAATTTGACTGTATGATCTGGTTGAACTGTAAAGTGCCTTGAGATGACTTGTGTTGTGAATTTGGCACTATATAAATAAACTGAATTGAAATTGAATTGTTTTGATTGACTAAATACAATTACCAGCATCGTCCCATTGGCCTTTAGCATTTCAATGAAATCATGCATCATACCCGACAAAATGAAACTTTGTTTTCTTCCATTTAAGTTCAGTTAGGAAGTGTCTTAATATCGGAAAATATGGGTACAACAGTGGCAAAGACAAGCAGAAGATATAAAAATCTATACACTATGGCAATAGCTTTCATAACACACAGAGACACATGTTTTATGCCCCTTGTAATCTGCCACCGCCTGCCATCAAGCAAATATATTTAGTCAACCAGTTGTTTTTTTCACAATAACTGCCTGTCATGCCATATCTCAACGGGACTTGAATCACGAATAAGCTGCTCCACAAGCTTTCAGGTATGTTTTTTTTATAACCGATCAAAAGGAGGGCCTACTGGTTTGCAGTCGATGGGTTGGATCAGGATCCTGTTATTGTTCTTGGTCAAGTTTTTCTACAAATTAGTAGGAACCATAGTTCCATAAATAGCTGGGTTTTCATGGTCCAAAGCAGCCACAAACATTATGAGGAACAAAGAGAAGCAACAAAAGGAAGCTAAGGGAGTTTTTATCACAGCATCATACTAAATTTCATGATATACCAAGTTTTATATGGGTCTTATGGGTTTTAGCCTACAGACATCTATATTATTCTTTTTCTTACTTTTATTTGATCCATCTAGAGTCCTACTGTAAGTTCATCAATCTAAATCCATCAATCAATTTAGATTTTTCTCTGATCTATTATTGTTAAAAGGCAAATTAAGATGCTATTTTATCATGTTTAATCAACATCTAGTGACTCAATATATTTTGGTTTTAGTATGGATTTAACTTAGTCTGTAAAGATAAAAACAACAAAGCTGGTATCAAAACCTGCGTCACCAACAGTATGAATCATAAAAGAAAGCTAACGGTCATATATGTCTCTATAAAGGCATACTGGAAGAAGTGGACACCAGACCGATGCTAAAAATGCTCCGACAGCCTGAGTTTCGGTGGCCTGTGGTGGGGGATGGGCTTGGCGGCCAGTACCAGTGGTCTCAGAGTCAGTGGAGTCTCCTGAAGACGCTGGCAGAGATGAGGAACCAACACAGCAAGAGTGTCCTGATACGTCTGTACGTCTCCCCTGATGACAAAAACTCCTCGTACTACATAATCAAGGTCAGATATCCACCAATTACTGATGTTAAAGTCTTCAAGTGTAAGCATTTAGATTGAACTGTTTTACATGTAACTGATTTGTAGTAAGCAGTTTAATCAACTCATTAACATGGATGTCATTGTCAGTTTTCAAACATCTGAACCGTTGGTTTCCTGGATGCAGTGAAAATAAACATGTCTTTATTTGGCGCTGATAAATCTAGATTCTCGAACATTTGTTATATATTTATAAGTTTTCAAAGCTCTAAAGTCAGTGCTTAATGACCTAGCTTACTGTGGCAGTGAAATTGCAGAAAAGCAGAAAAACTCAGAAATGACATTGCAGCAAACCTGTTGTCTTTCTGTTCCTGTAGCTCGATCAGGCTTCGTTGTCTCTTTCTTCAAGAGAAGACTACACCACCAACACTTCCTCTGCTCTGGAGGTGAGTTTCTGTGTAAACCTTCTTTTTCATTTTGCAAGTGGCTCATCATTCTTCCCTTGTTTCCAGTGACATTTCCTGACTATCGGGCACACCTCAGTATAAGCTGCTGCCAAAAAATATTTTGAAAAAACTGGAAACTTACATACATAAGATTACCAAGCCATAAGCCGCTATCTACTCAACTGTCCCCCACCAAACCTGAGTAAAAAAAAAAAGGGCGTGCTTTGGTGGCGCAGTGGTTAGAGCACACGACCCGACTGCCTGTGACTGGAATTTGTCTACAAGTTTGAAGATGTTTCGCTTCCCATCCAGGAAGAAAGAAAACATTTTTGAATTGAAGAAGCTTCCTGGATGGGAAATGAAACTGACAGTTAACGGACAGATGATCATTGCTTTTTGCTCCGTTATTCACATAACTACTCCTCCATTGCTAGGTGCCTACACCATCTGTATTAGTCGCGCTGTTGGGTAGCGACAGCACGACTAGCCTATGGCGACAGTGGGCCGCTGTGACAGCAAATCCCACAATGCTTTGTAGAAGAGCACGCCGCACAAAGCTTTCCGGGACATATCTGATAAATCATTAAAAGTCATTAGATTATTTTTTTTATTTTTTTTTATTAGGGCCTTAATTGGCATTAACGTTTATTAAATGTGATTACTGTGGCATTCAAAATGCTTCATTAAAAAAAAATAAAAAGTTCATAAAAAAAAATTTGTCAGATATATCAGACTGCTTCCAGTTGATCATAAAGCCGTGTGTTCGGAAAAGAAGGTCGAGAAGTAGGAAAAAGGTAGGGAATGTAAAAATGCAAATTTCAACAAAAGTGGCAGGAAAATGAGGAATTCTGGACATGGCTGCTGCCTGTCGATGGTAAAGATGACGAAGGATTTTGCAGTGTTATATATAGGAGAGTAATGGGTACTTGTTGATGGCATTAAAATGATTTCTAAGAGAATTAAAAAGCATTAAATTAGAGGTACTCATTCCTGTATAAATCCTGTGCCTCTTCTGAGGCCTTTCATTTCTTCTCTTAAACTTCATAGACACGTTTTCTCTTACAACCCTCTGCCATTTTCAAAGAACCGTGGTGAGAAAGGTGAGATTTAATGACTGAAACTGTAGCTCCCCACAGAAATACACCTTAAAGGAGCATGCATAGTAAAAGATAGCTAACTGGTGACGAACAGGTAGGACGGCCTTACGTTAACATATCACCAGAATGACTGACTGTTAGGAGGACCACTTATTGAGATGATCCACCCGGAAATAAAAGCTCATCCTCTATACCTTTAATGCATATGTGTGAATTCTATACATTTGTCCATGGTGTCTGCTGCTAGGATGTTCTTACGCTAAATGAAAATTAGCCCCTTTTTCTTCCATTTCCCTCTTTTACTTCCCCCTCTGGCGGTTAGGAAAAATCAACAGAAAAGCTGCACATTCTTACAAGCAGCATGGTCCAAAGCGTGGGAAAAAAGTAGCAGCTTATAGTCAGGAAAATATGTTAGTTTTATTTTTTCCTAAGTTTTCTAACAAATATGTTGGTACCTACCTGTGAAAAAATATGTAAGGTTCTGGTGAAAACGAATCCACACCTGGTAAGTCTTACAGCCTTTGTCTCTTTCTCCAGAACCGAGCTGCATTGCTGAGTCTGATGGTGGACGTGGCTGTCATGTTGGGAGCCCCGAGAGAAGCAGCACAGGCCCAGATGGAAAAAGCCCTTGAATTTGAGTCCAAAATTGCTCATGTAATAAGAAATAACTGATCAATTAAAACAAAAATACTTGATGTATGACCTCATTGAAAAACAATTTAAAATGTAAATTGTACTGGAGACCCTGCAGTTTTTATATATAAAAAAATACTTTATATTCAAATGCTTTTTTTTTTTTTACTTGTCTTTCTTGTTGTATGTGCAGATTCTGATTCCCTATGAAAACCGCACCAGTGAGAACATGTACAACAAATACACGCTTTCTCGGTTGCAGCGCTCCATGCCACAGGTAATTTTGTTGTCCACTTGCAAGATTAAATTTATTTTTACAGGATAAAAAAAAATCAAAGAATATTATGTACCAAAAATTTATTTGGTGCAAATCATTTGCATATTGAATAAAAAGTCCATGTTAGAAATAGCAGCAAATATTTAATTATTGAGTGTAAAAACCTTTAGAAACATGCCTTTAATTGTATGCCATTAAAAGTACACTTGGTGTAGTTCTTCTTTCTTTGAACATGTCTTTTCTAAAAATTGCTATTAATGCTGCCTTCATTCTTATTATCATGATGTCTTTTTAGTTGCATTCTTTCTTTTTCCGCTCATAGAAAGTGCAACTGGCTCAGCATCTCCCATTAATTTTGTCTCTTTCATTGATAATGCCACTAATGTATAGTTCCTGTAGACAATGCTTTCTTTGAAAGTACCGCCGACATATTTCACAAATAATGTTCTTGTGCTTCCAGTTCGATTGGCTTGGGTTTGTGAAAGCCGTGGTGGAGTCTAAGGATGATCCAAGTTTGTCTATTTCTTCCTCTGAGCCTGTTATCGTCAGAACCCCCAAATATTTTAAAGAACTCATGAAGCTTATCGACAGCACAGATTCCAGGTAAAAACACCTAAAAAAAACTGATCTTATGGTCTTACAGAGTTATTTTAACAGATATTTCAGAACACAAGCCCAATCCCAACTTTAGTAGGTTTTACAAATATATGACCAATAAAATGTTCTAAAGCTAGCTTGTGATTATGCAGAATCTAATTACAGCTATCAGTTGGAAAATTAAAATTACACATTGCACCTGTGTTTAGAGGAACTACTGTTGCATTTTAACTCATTGTCTTAAAGATTTATAAAATGCAAAGTGGTTGCCGTTCTTTCCAGGTAGCAGATTGGTTTATAAACTAAATATGGACTCTGGTTCATGGATGGGCTTGGAACGTAAAAAGCAGGACAGCGGCTTGCACAAAGAGAATTTTGTTTTTCTAATTGTTATTTGGAACATAGTGATGTTAGCACTGGGGTGAAAACGTTATAGCAACGCTAAAGATAATGGATAAAAAAAAACAACAAAAAAAACAACAACAGCCAAACAAATACATAAAATTAGGTTTTATGAGCTGTTGTTAGTTTAGCATTTCTCACCTCTCCAGCTACGAGTGTGACTAACACCTATCTAGAAATGGAAGTTCTTGGATGCTGATAAATACAAAATATTGTAAATTAACTTTTATAGAATCTTACAATAAAAGATTTTAAAAAATCTTAGCCTTTCATTTAAGTACTTTTATTTAGGTAGGGTAATAATTATGAAAAAAAAAATTGCCACAGAAAAGTATTCCCTCCCCTTACATATATCTACTTTATATATATATATATATATATATATATATATATATATATATATATATATATATATATATATATATATATATATATATATATATATATATATATATATATATATATATATATTTACCGGTACGTACAAATTTGTTAATTTGCAAAAATATATGCATTATGTGCGAACTCAATGAAATAAACAAAGCTAACAATAAACGGAAAAATTATGCAATGATTTGAAGTATAGTAAAGAAAAGTAATCAGGCATTCAGGTCAATGGTAGAGCAAAAGAAAAAAAAAATCTGTAGACCAAGCAACATGATCTTCTAATTCCGCTAATACCATAGAATAATATAACAGAGGTTTAAAAAGTCTTATTATTTTATTTTTTAAACTAAAGCAGATTGAAGACACTTAAGATTGTAAAAAAGGTGGAACAGCCCTTTATCAGTTGACCGAAGAATCGGAAACCGCAATCGGATATTGAATATTAGATCTGAAGTTGGGCAAAAAAGATAATATAGGATTGTATCGGTCTACACCTAAAATTTTTCTAATATTATGTCCAATATTATCTTGCTAAAACCCCATTTTTTTTTACCTTTTTTAAAAGTTACATTTTGAAATAAAAAGTGCTGTAAGTAAATAAAAGTGCCTAAAAAATAATTGAAATGATGGCAATAAATGCTGAAATTAAATCATTCTGTGAGAAGTTTTCTTGCATTTATCATTTCACGATTTAATTTTCACATTAAATATTTAGGTATTATTTATTCGTCTAGACATTTATTTCACAGTGATTTAATTATCTTAAGCAGTTTGGCATTCCTTATAGGCCCACCGTAAACTAACAGTAAAGAGAGTTGTTGTTGAACATTATGAATGGTATTAACTCAACAGAACGAGTTGTTTCAGTGCCCATAGAGACACAGACAGTAACACTAACCCACACAGCCCTCAGGGGTCCCTTCTCCTTAGGTTTTTCATAATTTATTAAGGCTTCATTAATCTTGTTCTGTCTCTTCAGGACGATAGCCAACTACATCCAGTGGAGGACAGTTTTTTCTAAGATCACCACTCTGAGTCGTCGTTTCCTCTACAGATACCTCGACTTTGCTCGGGTTAGTAGTACATGCCACACATATGGGAATTTACACAGTCAGTTGTTGTTGGTTTTAATATTAAGCCAAAGAAAGCACTTTTATTTTGTGGAGCACTGTGTTTTAGTTATACACTGCAGTGTGGGTCAGTGCAAGTTCTGGCAGGTGAAGCCAACAAATCAGATGCCTTTTATGTTATAGATGTTTGTCTGGCTGAACTGACCTTTTTTTTTTTAGAAGGCCCTTGTAATTTACAGCGTCCTGTGGAATTTCATGAAACACCGCCTATCTAAACATTTGTTGTGTTTTGTAGCAGAAAATCATGTAAAACTGCTGTGACATTAATTGTTTTGAGTTATTACCAAATAGTTCATTTTTACAGAAAGCGCTAAAGACCATTTAGATTTCTTATTTTTTTGTTAGACTCATGTATCTCCCACATGCAATTACAGGAGTCATCAATAGATGGCTCTATATGCCTGATCAGTAACTGGTTCAAAAAAACACAAGTTTTAATTTAAATTTTGTAATTGTTGTCTCTAAAGTAGTTTTTTTCAAAAAATATATATAGATTCTAAAACAAGGTTTGTGTAATATAAGACAAAATTTTACTTCTTTTTAATTTTTGGCCTCATTCCCCAGCAGTAGTAAAAGTAAGGCAAATGAACAAAATGAACGGCTACAACCAAACAGAGAAAACAACAGATATGTGGCGATTAAATGATCTACAGCACAGTTAGATTACTTTACAGAACTATTCATATATCTTAATACATAATAAAAAAAAATGTTACATCTAAAAACTTTCATCTATTTTTTTTGAATGACAAATAAAAGTCTAGAGTTTATCTAGAGGTCAAGATTTTTGCTTATTCTTGAAAAAAATGAAAACCAGTCAGACTGGATGATGAGTCAAGATTAAAGTCAAGTATTGTCATATGTTCTCATTAAGTTTAGGTTTGTGTTGTGGCTTGGCCGGTCTAATGCATGGATTATTGATCTAAATTGATTAATTGTTGCTCTAGCTGATTTTTTACAGTTTTTTTTATGCTAAAGGGCCAAAAGGTTGTGTCAGTCACCACTTTTCTGCAGCTGTTACAGGAGTATTGTCTACTGTCTCATCTAACCAGAGCACATTTTTTAATAAAGTTGCTATATCACCTATACAGCTTGCTGCAAACCTTTTCTTCAGAAATAAAAACCTTGTGTTGTCCTCCTTATAAAGATAGTTACGATGAGATATAAAGTTTACCTCTTTGAAAAGTAGAAATGTTAACTTGTGCCTCTGACCTTGCACTCCAACAGGTCATATCAGGAACTACCTCACTGACTCCACGCTGGGATAAATGTGTGAACTACGTGGAGAACTCCCTGGTTTATGCCACAGGGCGCCTTTTCGTCGACGCGCACTTCCAGGAGGACAAGAAGCACATGGTTTCCAGACTGTTTAAGTTTTACAAAAAATATTGATATTAACAATGCCTTTTTGGCCAATAAGCATTGTTTTTTTTTCCATATTATTTATTTTTTTATTTCCCTAACATTTGGATACCATTAAAACCGACCATAGTGCTGACATTATTTCTTTGCTTTAGTTTAACACCCACAGTCCTGAGCTGCATTACAACCACTGTCACGTTACCAAACAAACACCAAAGGACTGATCCGCTCCCCTCCACCTCCTGAAACAAACACAGCAACTGCCTGGAAATAATTATTGGTTGTTAATATTGACCCAGTTTTACTTCACTTTAAAGGATGCTGGCTTTTATTCACACATCATATGCTTGTTTTTCTGTGATGACAAATCTTAGATGGAAGAGCTTATTGAGGGGATTCGGTGGGCATTCATCGACATGTTGGAGAAGGAAAATGACTGGATGGATGAACAAACAAAACAGAGAGCCGTTGAAAAGGTAAGAATTTGAGAACTTAAACTGTTGGTCCCTAATTAAGGTTTAACATGCTTGACTTAATTCATAGGTTTTGGTTATCCTTTTACAAGCTTAGAACAATAGTTTGCTAGAATTTTGGCCCATTCTTTCTGTCAGGGCTGGTTAAATGGAGTCAATATTGTAGGCTGTTTGGAGGATCCATTGGTAGACAAGCTTTCACTTTCTGGCTGATGTCATAAGCTTGAATATTTCCACACTCAGAATACTGGGGGATGGTACTACTGTCCTATTGTACTCTTAAACATATTAAACTAGAGTCATTTTAATTATACCTCAGGGAACTAAAGATTTATGAAGAGGAGTCCTCCTATATCCCATTTATAACCTCTAATTAAACTAGTGGTTAAAGGTTAAGAGAGCAAACGGTTGAAAATGTATATACTTTTTTTTCTTCAATACTGGTTACTTAGAGCAAGATTAACTTCACAAGCTAGCTTGTACAAAAAAAGATATTTAAATAGGTGTATTTGCATTTAGCATAAGTCTGTAATTAAAATAATCTGCTCTTACAAAAGCAAAAAGAAAACATCTCCAGTTTCTTGTTTCAAATGCGGTATGTATAATTATCTTATTTTAGAGTCTGAATTAATCTACTTATAGTGGTTGTTTATTACGAGTATCATTTTGCTTTCTCGCTAAAATGAAAGGCTAATGCATTTACTTTAAAAGACGTTGTCCAGTTCTGGTTTTGTCATGTTTTTTTTTTTTGCCTTTTGAACTTTTATGCTTTGGTTGTTGTTTCACCTCTTAATTACAAAGTGAGCAATGGAAAACCAAGAAAAAATTGTCTTATCAAACTTTGGAATTAAGGTTGAATATGATTTCAAATTCAGTGCAAACGTTTTTTTTTTTAAATAATGAATTAAAATATATGAATCTGTCACTCTTTTTGTCTAGAAAAGGAAGAGGTAATATTTCTAGATCTGGTGAGGTAAAGTTTGAAAAGACTTTTTGATGCAAAGACATAAGTAGTTTTTAGTTTGGTAAAATGTCTTGATTGCTTTTGTGTTAAATCTAATGCTAAGTCATTTGCCAAGAGGTGTCATGTAAAACTGCTGTCTAGATTTGAAAGAAATTTCAAGGCCTTTATATTTCATACACATTAACTCAATACTTTACTTTATCAATACTTTATTCATCCTAAAATTAATTTAAACAGAGTTTGCCACATTGATTTATATACTAACACATTTAAATTCTTGTTTTTCTTTCCCAAGGCTCACGCAGTACTGGCTAAGGTTGGCTACCCAGAGTTTATTTTGAATGATACCTACCTCTCAGAAGATATAAAAGAGGTTTGTACTGCATAAATTATTTGTTTAGAGTTAAGATGATACTTTTTAAATGTTTTATACATAATAAAGAGTGTATGAGATAAATACCTTCTTGCTAGAGTGCAACTGCTTTGTGTTATTTGGCAGTTATGAATGAGAGCATACAGAAATATTATATAAGGTGTTCTTCAAGATGCCATCATTGGCCCACTTATTTTTTGGGCTGTTTCATGCCCATCCTTGCTACAGTTTTGTAGTATTACAGTACAAAATCTCTAACCAAACAATTCACACACAGTTTATGACCGAAAGCATGACTAAACTCTAGTATAGCCACTGGATATAGTTCCCACATCACTGACTAGATACGTTAAACTTTTTCACTGAAAAGAAATAACTTCTAGTTAGGGGTCTAAAAATTGCCTACCTTGGCACTCATCCATATTTTATAAGGCTAAAAACAGAAATCTAGATCAAGTAAAAGCCTTCATTTCAAAAGTGGACTTGACTTTTACTAGACTTACTTTTTTCCAGTAAAGTTATTATATTCCCAAACATTGTAAGCAAACATTCATTGCCAAGTTAAAAAAAACATGATTCAGGTTAGCTATTCTTTTTTATTTACTTTCACTTTTTTTTTATTTTGTTTGTATTTCAATTTGTCTGTTTCAGCTAGAGTTCAATGAAAAGGATTATTATGGTAACGTGATGCAGACTCTGAAAATGATCGCCAAATCTGACGTCTCCTGGCTTCGAAAAAGTGTCCCACGAACAGAGTGAGTCTCTACCAGCAACACAAGTTCTATTGTAGTTTTACCTCCCAGCTGACACACTTTATTAAGGGTATTTTCTTTTCCTTTTCTTTTAGATGGTTTACAAACCCAACCACCGTGAATGCCTTCTACAGTTCCTCCACAAATCAAATCAGTAAGATGCGGCTAAACAAACACGTTCATTTAGGGAAATACTTGTTTCACCAAACACTTCATCCTGACAGGTTTTACACAAATAAATATAATCTAATTTATATTTATAGAATTAACTGGTTACCATTATCTCCTTTTTCATGATTTCTATTGTATTAATGAAAACGATAAGAAACACACAAGACTGTTTGGTAGCATTTTCATTTCTTTTTTTCTGCAGGATTCCCAGCTGGAGAGCTTCAAAAGCCCTTTTTCTGGGGAAAAGAGTATCCAAGGTGAGGCTTAATAAATCTGACATGCTCTGCTAGCAAACTACAGAACTGTCTCCTCATACTTTACCCGTTAGGAGTAATTCCTGGATTTTATGACATGAGCTTGTAATAGAAAGCCTGACGTGTCAGAGTTCACTTAATTTGTACTGCACACAGCCTGAAACGACAGCTAGAAAAGGTGTCCCGACTTTTAAAGTCGTAGGAGAGTCATATTTAAATTTCAAATTATTCTGGCTTAAACATGTATATAAATGTACTCTTTACCAGACCATATTGCACCAAAATTTAGAAAAGTTGTACTAAAGTTGTGTTATGCAGGCCAGTTAGTTATACGTCAGCTTGTACACCTAAATTCGGCCAATCACATATCAATGGTCATCTGTCAATAAAATTTTTTCTTGATTCATATGTCGCAGCTAATATACGCAACGGTTGAAATAAGAAATAAGAATCATTATTTACTTTACTATTGTCCCAGTGTTCACGGGGATGGACGTCTGTGTCTTCGGCAGGCGTAGAGCTAACAGAACTGGCAGTGTTGCGAGGCAAGGGCTCAAACATGGACGGCTGTAAGCCTTCTACACCAAACCAAGCTTCTGACGCCCTGGCGTCTTCTTCCACAACATCTTAATCCCCGGTTTCCTCCTCTGAATAAAAAATGTATGACGGAGGAGACTCATCCACGACCTTTGACACAAAACTCTCCTCCTCTTGCATGTTTCCTCTGTCCATAGCGTTCCTTGACAGAGTCATTTCTAAGTCACCAATTTAGTGCTACTTGGTCAAAATGAAATTTCCCATTGGGAACCTACTAGCACTAAGTTGCTAACTGGTTAGCAAGATGCTTCCGAGACGCCGGCCACAATCAAACTTCTTTGCAAACCTTCCACAACAACAATCCCACCCCTTTGACGAACGACCAATCACATTCACTTTATTCACTCCGCACCACTCGGGAGAGTTCGGAAATGCAACCGTTGGAACAGCCGCTTCCCTGCGACGTTAATTTGTCTGTAGCACACAGTTGAATGAGTAGCACACAAAGATCCTTTGCAATTTTGAAAAATAGGATATTTGGTTTATTCATCTTCCAGAAGTAAGGGCAGATTAATTTTGATTGACTGTGATTTAAATAATCACTTTTTAATCTATGATTGCCCAGTCCAGATTTATTGTAAATTTGACATTCTGCTGCTGAATCAGAAACCAGCAGCCATTGCGGCCTGTTTAGAAAGTTGTTGAAATATAGATGATAGTAACCAAGATGGGGAATCTTTTGGACAAAAATATCAGTGATGGCATTAAATAGTAATAGAAAATTATGGTTAAGATTATGGTGCTCTCCATTGTTTTTAACAATCAAGGTTAAAGACTTTTGCATACAGCATAAGAAAAATGCTTGTTTGGGGCTGTGCTCATTCTGCTAGTTTTCCCACTGCTGTAATGGTGCCTTTTGGAGATTTTACCATTTTTTTACCCTACTCCACATTGTGCATAAAATTTTATCTTTGTCCAGAGTCACATTTGTTTTACAATGTTTTCCTTATTGCTCTAAAGTCTCAGCAAGCAGCTACTGTCTTGTCTTCACTTTTCTTTGAATACACAGATGTTTCATTTGTGGTAACTTTCTCATTGGGGAAATATTATTCATCATGTCTTGGGTGATGTTGTTGGGGCTATGGAATATTTTTACTTTAATTGGTGGTTGGGTTATTATTTTTAAGTCTTTAAAAGGAGGGAGTGTTACGACAAAGAAAATGATCTGTTTCAGGGTTTTGGGACATTTTTCTTCTGAGATGTCTAGAATTGTGAAGTGCATTCTCTGTTTCCTTTCACTAGAAAGAGCATTACAAGAGTAAAACTAGGACAACTTACAAACATTCACAAAGCTACAATTTTCCTTTAATAATTATTTACAGAAACGTGTCTACATTTTCTATCTTAAAAGTTAACAAAAATAACAGCTATGAATAAAAATCTCCACATTATTCCTTACATTTTTTTTCTTTTTAATGTAGCAGTTAGCTTGACTAAAATTAAATGATGCTCAATATTTTTTTATGTAAAGCTTCTGCTGCTTTTCTCTAATTATAAATTTTTTTTTTCTTGCTGCTTTGCTTGAATCTGTTATTTTCCCACATTTTCCATGGCTTCCTGTGTTTTCTAGATCATTAAGTTACGGTGCCATTGGGGTGATAGTTGGACATGAGCTAACTCACGGTTTCGACAACAATGGTAAAAACCAGTAAGCCCCAATTAATAAAATAAGATCAACTTCTACCACACCTCTTTTTTTGTTTTGTTTTTTTCGCTTTGTTTTATAAAGGTCGCAAATATGACAAAAATGGTAACCTGGACCAGTGGTGGAGTGAATCATCTGTAACTGCCTTTAACGAGAAGACTCAGTGTATGATTGATCAATATAATGACTATTACTGGGAGGAAGCCGGTCTCAATGTAAGGAAAAGGAGGCAAACATTCTTGTAAAGTTAGAAAAGTTCAGTTTTGGCAACTGGAAGTTAAGTTTTCTAGAAGGCGTTTCCATCTCATCCGAGAGGCTTCTTTAGTTCTAACTGATTGGGAGGACTTAGATTAGTATACTGTAGATGTAATAAAGGAATTGTGGAAAAACAAAAGGTGGCTCTGCTTCCTCCTTCTGGATTGGCCACGGAGGTCACCTGGGGCCTGCTTAGAGGGAAGAGAAAAAAGAAAAATGAACATCGTCATTGTGTATGTAGCTAGAGTCTGTGAAAAACTTTTCACAGGATTTTCAACCAGCACCGGATCCCTGCACACTACAAACCCGGCAACACCCTGCGACAAAAACTGGCTCACCCCAAAGATAAGACTAGCAGAAACAAGACAACCACCTGATTTACGCTGTTCAGTGTAGTGAAGTTTGCACAGGCCTGTACATTGGAGAGACAAAGCAAAAGCTACACAGGCGCATGGCTGAACACAGGACGGCCAACTCCTCAGGACAGGACTCAGCTGTTCAGCTATACCTGAAGGCTAAAGAACAGTCGTTTGAGGACAACAGTGTCCATATTCTGGCCGAAGGAAGACAGATGGTTTGAGCGAGGGTTAAAGGAAGCCATCTTGTTAACCTGGAAAAGCCATCCCTCAACAGAGGAGGTGGTCTTAGACGTAACCTTTCACCTGCCTACAAAGCACTTAAACCCAGAAGATTCACCTCTCACTTCCCTCACATGACTTGAACTTCAATGAGGCATGCGAGGGCTTTAACGACCCATCAGAACCCCCTAACGACCACTAACACCCCAGATGACCTCCTTGGCCAATCCAGTGGGAGGTATCACAGCACATTTTGTTCCCCCTTAACTCTCTGTCACACCTATGGTGTATTAATCTCAGTCCTCCCCACCACTAGTTAGAACTGAAGAAGATGAGAGGCAAATGTCTTCTAGAAAACTTCACGTTCAGTTGCCTAAACTGAACCTTTCAAGCTTGAACATGACCTTGATGTCTGAGAATCTTCACAGATTTCTTGTAAAGTGATTTAAAGTCTTAATGTGGATCAATTTGATTGTACTCTTCTATAGGTGCGTGGTAAGAGGACCTTGGCAGAAAATATTGCAGACAATGGGGGAGTAAGAGAGGCTTTCAGGGTAATACTTGTGCTTCAAGGAAAATAATCTTAATGGACCTCCTGAAGTCCAGACATTTAAATCCATGTTGTACAAAAATAAATAATTGTTGGGATTAGTCACTCCTGCCTGAAATGATCTGACATCATTCAGCTGCCAGGGTAAGTGGATGTTTCTTTTTTCTGCTTGTGTGTAGGCCTACAGGCGGTGGGTGGACAACAGCAGAGGCGGCGTGGAGGAGCCTCTGCTGCCAGGAGTTGATCTGAATAACAATCAACTGTTCTTCTTGAGCTATGCACACGTAAGCACACATCCATACTTAATATATTTTGTCAGTTTTAATTCTGTACTCTGCCCATTCTTCAGAAAAACACAAGCTTTTAGGAACATTATACAGTATCTCTAGATAAAAGTTTGAAGCTAAGACTTGGAATGTATTTATCTTTACTCCTCAGCTTCTAATTTTAAATTACCCTTAAAGGAGAATTCCGGTTTTTAACACTTTTAGCCCATTTTCTGTAGTGTCCAGGATGAAATCGAATGATCGACACCAAAATTTTGACAATTGGTCCTGTCTCTGCTTTTTGGCTCATGCAGAATCCCCCCCTGGCTGCTTCAGAATGGCTTCCATAGTGCATGTCCGATAATGTCCTTAAAACAACCTTAAATGTTCTTTTTTTAAAATATGCTACTCACCGGGTCGTCAGCGCTGTTCAATGACGTTCCAAAAAAAGTTTAGTGAAGAAAAAACGTTCCTGTAGTGTTTTATTTAGCATTTTGTAAATCCCATTGAGTTCTGTTGGAATAGTCAATATCCCTCCGCCACCGGAAACGGAAATGGGGAAAAGACTACACTTAGTTGTAGTCTTTTCGCTTCACTCTGTGTACTCCGACGTCGAGGTGCTAACGTCTCTGTTAAACACTTTAAAAAACTCTGAAAATGGAATACGAAAGGTGGATTCTTGATGAGGACATATTGGACTTTGAGTTTGACGGTAGAGGATACCGTTTTGAACCGGAATATACTGAGGAGGAGTATATAGAGACATTGTCGCAGACTAGTGGTCTGGAGTGTGCAACGCTTCAGATTCGAGAAGCGGAAGTTTATAAGCGGTTGTGATGTATCGGAAAAAATAGTTCTGGGATTTACAAAATGCTAAATAAAACAAGACAGGAACGGTTTTTCTTCACAAAACTTTTTTAGGAACGTCATTGAACAGCGCTGACGACCCGGTGAGTAGCATATTTTAAAAAAAGAACGTTTAAGGTTGTTTTAAGGACATTATCGGACATGCACTATGGAAGCCATTCTGAAGCAGCCATGAGCCAAAAAGCTCATGGCTTTTTGGATTCTGCATGAGCCAAAAAGCAGAGACAGGACCAATTGTCAAAATTTTGGTGTCGATCATTCGATTTCATCCTGGACACTACAGAAAATCGGCTAAAAGTGTTAAAAACCGGAATTCTCCTTTAAACCTAACAGAATGGTTGAAAGTTCTATTACCAAACCCATATTGATTTCAATGTGGTATTGATTTTACAGCAATCCCTCACACCGATCTTCGTTAGAGAACAAAATATAACTACAATAATGTGTGTGGAATGTTTTTGACTGGCAGTTTTTCTTACTGCTGTTTTGTTTTCTGATCCTAGCCTCTAGGATTTACATATTAGAAGTGTGCTTTGTGAGCAGTCAGGTCCAGCTAAATGACCATATCTATTCTGGGAAAGTAGAGTTCTAATGCCAGACAACAGAAATATTACCCCCAACTCCATAGTGCCTGCTGCCATTTTGATACAATAAATACTGAAATCACACAAATGCATTTCGATTCATTATGGTGCGCCAAATTTACTGCATGTTGAGGTCTTTGCAATTATTTAATTAATAAAAGTTTCTGATATTAAAGCTGAGGGTTTAAGAATTAGACCTTTCTCAAAGAGACATTTTATACATTTTTACAGAAAAATGTATGTAAAATAACTTTTTTCTTTGACCCTTTATGACTAAAACATTGATTGATGAGCAGATTGATACCTTAGTGATTCAGTTCCGATGCATATATACCCCTGTAGCCTGTTTTCCCCTGAATGTGATGTCAAGCCATTTATTAAATGGCTCCAATCAAAGCATTATATTCAAGATGGACTTTGTGTATACTAAAAAGCGACAGGTGTCCAGTTCAACTTAGAGACCAATGGAAACTCTAGATAAGGTGGAAAAAAGTCTTTAAAAAAACTTGTTAAGTACGAGCGATCACTACGAGAACAAGCAAAGTGTGCTGCAGGTCAGAGTTTTGGCCCCAGGTGGCAGTATCATCACAAAAATCCATAAAACCTCATTTAAGACAATATGTATGTGAGGGTAGAATATAGTGTTGCGCTGATTTTTTGGCCGCAATACCGATGCCCGATACCTGGTTGTGAAGTATTGACCGATACCATACAGATACCATCTATTTGAAACTGATGTGTGTGTGTATATATGAAGAACTGCATGGTACTTGAATGTGAAATAGTTGCCATCATGGCTTTGTAAAGCTGCTGCCTACCTTTGTGAAGCAGGAAAAAGACTAATACAAAGTGAATCCAGTAGAACTTTTTATTACCTACCTGGAATGGGTGACTATAAGGGACGGGCACAGCGCGTTGCATTCTTGGTACGCCGCCATATTGACAGCTAGTTGCTACGGTAAACAAAGACCTAAAACAGCACAGAGAAAGAGCACAAAGACGAGTAAACAGCGATGTTAAAGGCGAAGAAAGGATGCGGAATATACCGAGACACACTGCAGAGGGAAGCCAGGGATCGTTATCTGCAAAAGATGGGCTTCATAAACGGACTTGATCCCTACGAAGTAGCAAGCAAGGAGTGGTGCGTTGGGGAAGAATTTCTACCGCCGTTTGCGAGGGAGGACATATTTTCCTATCTAGTGTGTGGCGTCAGTGCCTACACACATGAAGAATTTCGCTGCTACAAGTCGCTAGAGGCTTACAAACAGCTGACAGATGGAAAAGTTCACGACATGGAAGTAATCAAACCGAATGAGAACACAGTCATTAGATCCAAGGTAAGCTACCGTCTCAACATGGTGTGGTGTTTGTTGTGGTGATAAGACTAGGTGCAGGCACTAACGTAAAACATCAAAAATGGAACACAACCCTACTTCAGCTCGTGCTACATGCTACAGATCAGCCAACAACGGTTAACTTGAAATGATACATGAATAAAAACAGTATGTTCTGTAACTTACCAGAATGAAAATGCCGGGAACACACTCTCATGGACACTGGGATTGAGTTGAAAGTTATATTTGGCCGTCTTACAGCAGCGACCCATGCTAGCCGGCGACTCTTTGTTATGGAGGACATTTGTTTTCCATTGAGACGCCTCCAGGTTGGAAAACGGTAAAAAGACAATCCATTTGGGATTTTTTTCCCCGTCCAGTCACAGCTTGCGCTACTACACCCTACGACACAGCAACGGGTGACCATAACGACAGCAGAGGTAAAATGAAACGGCAAAAAACTAAGCAAACTACTAGCAGAAGAAAGCAAGTCCTTAAAGGCGCGAAGTCGAAGTATAAACAATGGGCTGACCAGCTTTCAATATGGCTGCCGCGCAACGTGTGACGTCATGTGCCTGTCCCTTATAGTTAAATGAACTTTTGGCTCTCAAAATGCTCGCCGATACCACCATTTTAGTGCTGGATCGGGACCCTGTCTGATACTGGTATCAGTATCGGTGCAACACTGGTAGAATAGCAAATACATGTGGTCACAAAGTAAAGTAAGGGTATTATTTATTTCACCCTTAGGTTAGATGTAACTCCTACAGACCAGAAGCAGCCAGAGAGCAGATCCAGAGTGGAGCTCACAGTCCTCCTAAATACAGGTGAGAAAGGAAGCTACACAGTAACTCACTGCATCTTTCAAACCTGTTTTTAATCATGACTGTTACCTTCCAGAGTCATCGGAGCGATGAGCAACTACGAGGAGTTTCGAAAAACGTTCAACTGTCCCCAGTCGTCGGCCATGAACCGAGGAGCTCAGTCCTGCCGTGTATGGTGACCTCTGACCTCAGTCTGAAGCCCAGAACCACGATCCAGCTGTCATCTTAAAAGGGTGGTAATATTTGAGACCATTGCCGAAAAAGTTTTTAACAATGAGGGGAACAGCAAGAAAGTAAGTTGATTGTTCAGCTGAAAAAAATAAACTTGTTTAATACATGGATGTTTGAGGTGCAAATGGACATATTTTGGTACTGAAGCCATTTTCTAACGTGATAGTTTTTATGTCTAATAAAAGAATGCATCAATCATTAAAGGACAACAATTTAGGTATCCTACCAAAAAATATTTACAAAAAGTTTAATATTATTATTGTTTAAAAAAAAAAACTATATGTAGATGTAAATATACAATGTTAGCTTTTTTAATTAAAATGCATATTCTGGTTATAACTGGAGGAGGAGGCTTATGTTAAATGACTATAAACACTGTTAACCAAAATTACTTTATGTTTGAGCCTTATTTTTTTTTCTGTACATTTTAATGTTTAAAATCAACACTGAAACAAGAAAAAAAAAAAACACTTGCTAGATTGTTTTTGAAATTTAAAACTGTCCGAAAGCAGGTAAATGTTTTATATATTAAGGGAAAAGTTTTTGGAGTTAAGGTTTTACGTTTTATCACTGTTTCTGTTCATTGTATTGTGTCAAGAAACAATATTTATGTTGATATTTTGAGGATTTCAAGTTCTGTGGTTCTTTAAAATTCGGTGCATGAACCGAGTAAATGGGATCAGCTTAACTATCAGCAGCTCTTTTTAAACAATATCTAAAATGTAACATTAGAAAAATGCATTTGTATTAAAAAGTAATTAAGTCAAAGAATTTCAATCTAGAAATGCTTATCTTATTAGAAAAAAAGGTGATATTAAACATTTCTTTATTTTTTTTTGTTTGAATTTGGACACATCTCTAGATTAATCACTAGCTAAGCATGTGTGTAACAATAATAAATGACCCCATGGCGGTCTTGTGTTAAATATCTTCGGTTAAAATAAGATGAAAACTCGAATGCGCTAATTTTACATCTTTCACAAACTATTCTAAATGTTTTTTGAGGGGAAAAAGACACGCTTTACACCATAAAATAGTTTGATTGAAAAACCAAAAAAAGGTTGGTTTGGATGTACAGGGCGATTCATTTAAATATTAAGTGTTATGTTTATCATCATTATTATCTGTTGTTATTTTTTGAAAACTGTCATATTTCTGTAACTTACTGTGAAGAATTGTGTTTCTGCGATGTAAGTTTATGTAAGGATTTCACGTATCAGCGTTTATTCTTCTTTTGGGTTTAAAATAAAACTCTGGGACACCATGGTGCGTCCTGTACATTACCATTACTAATGATTAAACTCTCATCTGAGATCAAAGTGACAGACAGGGCACAGATAAACCTGATGGATGGACAACAAGAGCTCATCCCTGCATTGATTTCTTTTCTTCTTTTTTTTTCTACATATATATTTTTTTTGCCCTTCTGGGTTTGCTTTTACATCACACATCCATTCTCATTCATTTATATCAACAGTTGCCATGGAAACCTGGTCTTTAGCCTGATGCAGAGTGTTTGTGGCTATTGGTTGAGCTTACAGTATCCAGCAGGGGCGTTACAATAATGACTTGTATTTGTGGCACAACCAGCAGTAGCCTCATCAGTTTAGACCCAATTAGGAAAAGCAATGCAGCGGTCCCATCTGTTATTGTGGGAGCCAATCTCAATGGGGAGTTAGGGTGATTAAAGGTTTGTGGGTGTGTGTGTGTGTGTGGGGGGGGTGATAGGGTACGATAATGACTAGGGCGGATGACTGCAGCATCTAACCTGTGTCGGCCATACATTCATCAACACTGGCTCTATTGATCGCTGATAAGGGACGGATGAAACTGTTGCTCACATTTTTCTTTCATCCAAGCTCTGTCCTCCCATGTAACAAAATGCTTTTAGAGTGTTTTAGAGTGTTTAGGTTTTAAAATTGTAGACTTATTGATAATGATCTATAAATAAGAATATAGAGGAACAAGCTACATCTATGAGATAATTTAATAAACCATGCAGTAAATGTTTTTAATGTTTTATCACGCTACAACCAAAATCTTTAATGTATTGTATTGCTGTTTAACTTGATAGATGAACGCAAAGTAATAAATATTTTTCATGTGGAAGGAAAATCGTACATGGTTTAACAAAATAAAAAATAAATAAAAAAGAGAAGTGTAGTGTGGATTTTTCTTTCTTTGGCCCTTCTGAATCTATACTTTTCAGAATCCCCTTCCTCTGCCAGTTTTGTTAATGTACAGCTCAAGCTCAGCTTGATTGGACAGAAAGTGTTTCTGAACATCAATTTCAAACCCTTATCAAAGGCTCTCAGTTTACTTTCGGTCTGGACTTTGACTAGACTAATATTTATAAATTACTGCATGTTGTCTGACGACAGAGTCAAATTTCACTTGCTCCACTTGTTCTGTTTATATGGTAAAGCCCTGCAGAGCGTCTGGGACCAGGCTGCACATGATACAAGTTGGCCAATGAGCAGTTTCACCCTAGGTCACTGCGGCGAGCCACTTTTAGACACAGTAGGCAAACCTGTAGCAAGCCGGGTGATGGGAAAGAAGGAAAAGACGATGAGAAAAAGAGAGCAGAGAAAGCATGGACTGCTGGAAGAACTGCATGGAACTGATGAAAGAAAAGTAAAATGACGTGCTCAAAGATGACCCTGCACATTTTGAGCATGTTTGTCTCAACCTGCTGCTGTGAAGCAGGATTCTCCACCTTGAACGTAATCAAAAATAAATATTGATCAAGTCTCACGAAAGAGCACCTTGATATGTGTTTGAGAATGGCTTTTTCTCCATTCAAACCCAGATTTAAAGCCTTACAGGTCAGCATATGCTCACTGCTCTCATTAAAGCATAAAAAAAGAAAAAAACAAAAACAAATGGTCAGTTCAGTGTTTTATGAAACGTGAATCAGGAAATATTTTGTATACCAAATTGAACAATTGTTTTTCACTTTAAAAAACACTTTAGATTTGAAAATATTCTATATTTTATCAATATTTTTTTATTTAATAAGTCAGTGTGTAACATGGATGCATAAACACCTCATTTTATTTCAGTGTTAAATTGTGTTTAAAGAAACGGATTATAATTAAAAATGTCTCCAGACCTTTACTGGATGTTTTTCTTTATTCTGACCCCGCTGATTTTTTATTCTTACCCCAGGACTAGACTATTTTACTGCATTAAAACCTTTTGATTTTACACCTCCCTTTGCAGTGATAATTCCATGATCATTCTGTACCTACCAAAGAAAAACATCCCCATAGCATGATGTTGCCACCACCATGTTACACTATAGGGGTGGTTTGTACAAGGCATTGTAAATAGATAAGTTTTTCTTTATTTAAGTTATCGTTGTCTTTTTGCCCACAGACCATATTGGAGATTAATACAAAACCTTTCAGAATGGAAGCAATGGTGTCGATGTCTTGGCTGTTTTCAACCTAGCTAATATTTTCATCACAAATAAAATATTGGGCAGGAGTTGCTTTAAAAGAAAAACTCAGTTCCATTTAATGACATTCAAGCTCAGGTGTAGTGTCCAGCCTTTTCTTTGTCTCTGTGGGTTCCTTAAGGCTTCCTCTTTATCACAATGAAAAGTAGGTTCTGTGTGGATTTAATGCCTGCGTGATCCTGCTTTCTGACTCATTAAAAGGGAGCTGAAGTCATCGCTTTGTGTCACTACGTCATCAGATTAGGGTAAATCTACTTTAGTAGCTGCTGTAAAACTGACAACATCTGTGAGCAAAGAGCCGAGTTTTCATCTGAATGATTTCCTCATTAAAAACAAACACAGTCCTGAGGGCAAAAGGCTTCTTCTAAATCAAATGTTTATGTTCTTCTGTATTTAAAATGTGTCTTTCAATTTTCTCCTCGGGGTTATCACAGTAAAAACATATAAGAGACTATTTATATATGTATATACATACATATGCCTACTGTACCAAAGAGATTTCTTATGTTTCTTCATTAAGTGAGGGGATGCGTATCAGAAGCTATTTTTATCGAAGGCTTTTATCAACCCTAGATTCAGCAGTCGGAGTGGAAATAGCTGTCCTCAGAAACCACTCTCTGACCTTTCTGCTATTAAGGTTTTCCCCTGGCGCTCCTGCAGTTAGGCCTCTCCCAGCATTTTTCTTCAGCAGCCTCAGTTTTTATCTCCTTCCACTTCCTTCTCAGAGAGAGTCGGTGGAGATGCTCTTCTGAAATCTGCATCCGTCTTCCCTGTTTCTGGCCTGTTACTGTAATCAAATTTGTCCATCTCTGAGAGGCTTCCAAGATGACTTTACAGTATTTCCCTTCCCGATCACTTCCCTTCACCATCACTCCCTCTAGCAGCAGTCTGCCTGGCCTCTCAAGCTAATGCCTAAATGACATTTAGGATATAAATGCTGCTGACCGCCAAGACAATGCTGTAACTGGATAGACAGAGAGGACAGATGGACAGGGAAAGTAATATAAAAAATAACAAAAATAGGCACAGCAAAATTTCCTTTACTTTTTTTTCCCGTAGTTGAATATCAAGAATGTAAACTCTTAACATGAAATTAAGAGAACATTTGTTGGGCTGATCTATAATTACGACTACAAACACCAAATGAAAATTGCTGCTTTTACGTAAATTCAAAGTCATCCTGCTATTATTAATGGCCGTCTACATCACAAAAGTCAGAACCTGAACTTTGAACTTCAGTTCCACCAATCATCCCTAATCTATACAAAAGTGACGAGCTTAGTAGACCGCAATAAATGACCTTTAACTAGAAGAAAAACATCAGCTAATAACATGTAAAGGTACTCTGATGAATGTGGTTTTGAGAATTTATGATAACAAGGTTACAGTGGCTCTCAGAAGGTCTACACGCCCCTGTTAAAATGTCAGATCCTTGGGAATTAAAAGGTAAGGCTTTGATAAACGTTTTCAAAATATAATATGACATTTTCAAAATATAATATGACATTTGTCTGGTTCGACTGAGACAAATTTATTAAGATGTATTGTAAGACGTATGAAATCTAAAATATTGGGCAGGAGTTGCTTTAAAAGAACAACTCAGTTCCATTTAATGACATTCTATCTCAGATGTAGAGTCCAGCCTTTTCTTTGTCTCTGTGGGTTGCTTAGAGGAAGAACTATGGAAAACAAGCTTGGTCTAACGTAAGGAAAAAATAGTTACTACACATCCTGGTGTAAAGTCAGAATTTCCCTGTACGAAGAATATATCTTCTAATTGTAACAAATTTATCACATTATAAAGCAAACCTTTTAATGTCTTTAACAGTATAATGTGCATGTTTTATAAATGTGATAAATTATTGTACTGAATTTAAAATAAAAAAAAAAGACAGACCATTAGTTCCTCCATTTATTTATGTTTTCAGAGTCATTTGGGACAGTTTTGTCTTTGTTTAACCCCGTAGAGGTCCAGATATTTCAGTAGAGGTTTCTCAGTGCTGTGTGTGACACTATAACCCACTTTTATGCAGTTGCACAGCCTTCCATGCCTCTCCTGATCAATCAGAGATGCTGCCTGCTCAGTCAGGTCGGACCCATCATTCCTGCTCTGTAGCCCAATGAGTTTCTTACCAGTGCGCATATTATTATAAAAATAATAACCAAGGTGCTTCATAACATCCATCCATCTTCTTCTGCTTATCCGGGGTCGGGTCACGGGGGTAGCAGCTTCAGTAGGGAGGCCCAGACGTCCTTCTCCCCAGCCACTTGGGCCAGATCCTCTGGTGGAATCCCAAAGGCGTTCCCAGGCCAGCCGAGAGAAACATAGTCCCTCCAACGTGTCTTGGGTCTCCCACTGGGACTCCTCCCGGTGGGATGTGCCTGGAACACCTCACCAGGGAGACCTCCAGGAGGCATCCTAATCGGACGCCTGAGCCACGTCAACTGGCTTGTCTTGATATGGAGGAGCAGCGGCTCTAATCTGAGTCCTCGCCAGATGACTGTGCTCTTCACCCTATCTCTACGAGAGAGCCCAGACACACTACAGAGAAAACTCATTTCAGGCGCTTGTATCCGGGATCTCATTGTTTCGGTTATGACCCAAAGCTCATAACCATAGATGAGGGTAGGAATGTAGATCGACTGGTAAATCGAGAGCTTTGCTTTTTTGGCTCAGCTCTCTCTTCACCACAACAGACCAGTACAGCTTCACGCCAGACACCAATCCGCCTATCGATCTCCCGCTCCATCTTCCCCTCATTCGTGAACAAGACCCCAAGATACTCCTCCACTGCGGGCCGTACATCCTCCCCAACCTGGAGAAGGCACTCCACACTTTTCCGGCTCAAGACCATGGTCTTGAATTTTGAGGCCCTGATCCTCTTCCCGGCTGCTTCACACTCGGCTGCGAATCGCTCTAGTGAGAACTGTAGATCCCGCCCTGATGAAGCCAATAGAACCACGTCATCTGTGAATAACAGAGATGCAATCCTAAGGCCACCAAGACAGATCCCCTCAACACCTTGGCTGCACTTAGAAATTCTGTCCATAAAAGTTATCAACAGAATCGGTGACAAAGGGCAACCTTGGCGGAGTGCAACCCTCACCAGAAACGAGTCCGACTTACTGCCGGCAATGCGGACCAGGCTCTGACACCGGGCATACAAAGACCTAACAGCCCTTATTAAAGGGCCTGGTACTCTATACTCATGCAGTACCCCCCACTGCGGGACACTGTCTTAATTAGATGAACAACTGGGGAAAACAATAAACTCATACATCATCAATGATAATTATCCTAACAGTGGTAATTCTGAAAGAAAAACATGATGATATCTGTTTCATTTTTATAAGATATGGTCTTTAGAAAGATTTTCTAAAGCTGTACCTACCATTTTTCAAATGGTTCTTTATTAATAAGCTTCTATAATCCTTAGTAATGGAGGACAGTGGAGGAGATGGAGGCGGACCTTACATAGATTCTTGTTAGACGCTTCTAAAATGTTAATATTACCTTCATCTTGGAAGAAAGTGAATGGGTTTAATCGCTTTATTGACATTTGCCAAGGAGATATGTTGCTGTACAAGTCATGTTTTTTAAGTTTCTCTAAAAATCAGATCTTTTTTTTTCACTAAAACTGTTTCTTCTGAATTGAACGTCAAAAGTTGATCCAAATAACACAAAATGATCGG